CTCACTCCTCGAGAACACAAATCTCACCTCTACGCCCACAATGCTCACTAGACTAATCACTCAACTCATGTCTAACTGGTAAATCTCTATAGATCCTAAGTTCTCGGGATAATCCTCTATCACCACATCACTTCTCCAATCTAAATGGATAATAGGTCTCCACCTAATAGAAGTGATAGAAATGCCTCACTCGAACTCCACCTGATCAGGGTCTCATCTAGATAAAGGATTCCAACATTTGATCACATCTCCACTTGTGATCCAAATGTCACACTCCACATCCCACGGTACAAACCACAATGTACCCATAGGCATCTATACTCCACCTTACCAAAAGACATACACACACACACTGCCAATTGCATCCCAAACCCACTATGGCAAATTAACACCTTTTGGCGACCACAAAGGTTAGGGCTCAATTTAAATTGACCCACGCACCAACAAGGTTACTCCAACACCAATGCTCTAAAAAATCCACAAAGGATTTATCCCACAAAGGGAAGGGTGACAGTGGTACTCACAAAGAGGATAGAAGAAAGAGTTGGTTACTTCACTACACTCACACAGAGAACAAAGATAACTCTTACAGGCTGCCTTATACAATCTCACAAACCACATAGGCTCACAAAGATGAAGGAGAAAATGGCTGCCCCTCTAACTTTTCACTACCACACTCTCTTACACCACTCACAGAGCAAAACGGAGTACGCCATAGATCTCAACCCACTATGCATGCAAACACATTACACCAAGTAATAAGATCACTCCAATTCATGCCAATGCACATATCAAACACATTGAAATGCAACATATAGCCATGCAGCGGAAACGAGCAATCACACACATGCAGAAAGGATTACACACGGATGCACATGCAGTAACTAGGGTTACACTCAATAAACATCACTAGGGCCATCACTCGACCCTAAAACCAGATTCGTCTCGCCTTTCGACTTACCCTTCTTCTTGGGACAATCCCTAATGAAGTGTCCAGACTTACCACAGCTGTAACACCGTCTACCACCGGACTTGTCCCAACTCTTGCTCTTCTCCTTACCTCCATCATCACTCGAGTCACTACTCGAATCACTGTTATCTTGAGCTCTACCAAAACTCATTTGCTTAAACTTCATTCTACTCCTCATCATATGCAACTCACTAGTTTGCCTATCTTCTTTTTCAGCCTTAATCTCCATTTCCTTACTCCTAAGGGAATCAATGACAATTTTGGGGTTAAAGTGTCCCTACCATACTTAATCGCATTCTTAACCTCTCTACATGACTCAGGCATAGAATTAAGCAAAATCATGGCTTTATAGGTTTCAGACACCGACTCTCCACGTTAACAATGTCTTGAACCAACTTGTTAAAAACATCCAAATTGTCATCTAGATCCTTTGAAGGATCCATTTTAAGGCTAAAAAATCTTTCAAGCAAGTACAACTTATTAGGAATGGATTTAAGCAAATATAAATCCTCCAACTTTTTCCAAAATTCTTTGGTAGAATCAAATTTTCCAACTTTTCTCAAAACAGTGTCAGACAAGTGTAAAATGATAGAAGTGTATGCAAGTTCATCATATTCTTCTTTTTGTGCTTTTGTAAAATTTTCCGGAAATTTGCCATCAATAGCTTTTGAAACTTTTTGTTGAACCAGAATACCCTTCATCTTTTGTTGCCAAATTTAAAAATCTCCTTTCCCGTTGAAAATCTCAATTTCGAAATGTGAAGACATTTTGAAAAACAGAACAACCAAAAAAATGTACAAGTAGGTCACACAGAGTAAACCTAAGGCAACAATATACATCGTTCTAGATTCCTAGGGTTTCGTGAGACTCAAAATCTCAGATCAAGGGAACGTTCGAACGGGTTAAGTCCAAGGTGTTCTAACAGGATAATCAATGCAACACGAAGATATACAAACAAAAAATTCAAAAATTTCCACACAATGCAGTCTCACACAGAGACAAAACAACAATTACAGCACAAAAACGATTACCAACTTGCAGTCAAAATTCAACAATTCAAATAGAGTAATTAATTCCTAAATTTCTAGCACAAGCAATGGTTACCCCTTCACGGTAACCCCAATCCTAATGTCACCCTACACGATGACGCGCTAATGCTGAAATTTAAACGGGATAAGCCAATTTACCAGAGCCGACCTATCTGAGTCCGTAAATTACGAGAAATATAATTTTAACACTTTAGGGCCACCACTATTCGCCCTAAAGTATTTAGCAACTTCAGCAACCACCCGAGCAACAATTGGACTACGAACGTAGGGGCAAAATCGTCCAACTTTTCCTGCGCAACCTGAAACACTAAACCAAAAATATCAGTACGTTCACAAAATCAAATGTAACAAACTGCCTGAAGAAGTCGAAGCCTGAAAACGTCCTACGCGCCCTTACGCGCGGCGCCGATTCCCTACGCTCCGCCGCCGACCACCCAGCAGCGCCTCCACCTGCACGTTCCAAATCAGGTCTCCGTTTGTCCAGACGACCACTGGTTTGGTTGGAATTTGAGTTTGCAGGTGCGGTTTTCGCCCCAAAAACTGGGCAGTTTTTCTGCTCGATTTTTCCTGCTTTTTTGGTCGATTTTTGGTCAGAATTTGAAGCCCAATCCACCACCAACTCGCTCTGATACCATTTGTCAAAATTTGGGGCTCCAATCAACCACAAACCGGGCTCAGAAAACCAACCAATCGACACCACAATGACAACCAATTTCCGAACTAGAACCACCACCACTTGGTTGCTTCCAAGATGCCACAAAGGCTGAGTGTGAGTGATCTTTGGCAGCCCTAAACTAGCCACTAAGGCTAAGAGAAGAAGAAGGAGAAGATAGCACAAAGCAAGAGGAAGCACAAAGCAAATCTCCCTTTTCCCTCCTCTAACTCACGGCTCCAAGGTTCAATTTCACACTAGGGCTAATCACAAGAAAATCGCCCCACTTATAAGCACAAGTTAAGTGGGCTATAAGGTCAAAACACAAGAGGCCCAATAGATAACAACAAGTGGGCTTTTCAACTCTAAAGCCATCCAAAGTAATGGGCCGGGCCATGAGCAACACTAATGAGATTAGACTACTTCAAACGGCCCACTTAGGTTGTCGGAGTGGTTCGTTCATTGTGATGTCGACATTTCACNACAAAGGGTAAACATGGTAGTGGTGATTTGAAGCCACAAAGGCAAGGGAAAGGAGGCACCACAAAGGAGACAAGGAAGAGACCAATACACAAAGTATATTACCGGATTTTAGAGCACCAAGATGGCCGAAATTTTCTCTTGAGGCAGCCGTTTTCCCCCCACCAAGGAGCAGCCGTTTTCCCCTCTTCAACCCTCTCAAATCACCCACCATATTAACCAAGGGAATAGATACATATAGGATGGGTATTAGGTCACACAAAATTGGGCCAAGACATCTATTGGGCCACCAATAAAGACCACAACTATCCAACAATA